GCTCTTTGCCCCACCCCAGCCATTCCACAGATATATAGACCCATTGTCCTAATTCCAACAGACCTCACTACCTCTGAGGATGCTTGCCATAGATGCAGGCGAAACGTCAGGAGAAATGCCTCTAGAACATGGCCCTATAGCCCGAAAAAACCACAAGAACCTAGTGATTCCAGCCATGAAAGCCTTCGACAATACATTTGGAAAAACTTCTTGACCATAAGAGAATTTCAGCATTAGAACTCTACCACAGAGTGTGGTGGAGGTTCCTTCTTTGGAGGCCTTTAAACGGAGGCTGGACAGCAATCTGTTTGGGATAATTTGATTGTTTTTTCTGCATGGCAGGGGTTTGGACTAGATAGCCCATATGGTCTCTTCCAACTCCATGATTTCAGCAGGTGTTTCTTGCCACTTGGTTACGTAACACAACACTTGCTAAACCTCTCATTTCTGTACAACCACTGAAAATACAGCATTCTGGATTCAAAGAATGCAGGTGGTAATGGCAACAAAAGTTCATGTTTGGTTATAGGCTGTTCCTATCTGAGCACTAGTATCCATGCATTCCCCGGATCATATTTCAGCCCAAATCTTCAAATTGGGTTGCTTTTAAATCCACATTCATTAGTTGGAATAAGATGTTCCAATTGAAAATATTAATACATTTACGAGGACCTTTCTTCTTTGTCTCAGGTCCCTTCCATACTACCCTATATCCCAGGATCTGATCTCAGATTATTATTTTATCCCAGATTATCTGGCAGTGTAGACTCATATACAGTAGTCTTGCTTACCCAACATAAACGGGCCAGCAGAACATTGGATAAGTGAAAATGTTGGATAATAAGGAGGGATTAAGGAAAAGCCTATTAAACATCAAAATATGTTATGATTTTACAAATTAAGCACAAAAATAGCATGTTTGACAACAAATCTACAGAAAAAGCAGTTCAATACATGGTAACATTATGTAATAACTACTGTAGTTACGAATTTAGCACCAAAACATCGCAATGTATTGAAACAGCTGTAGATCTGGGCGGGAGGCAGACTGTGTTGAATACAGAATGTTGGATGAACGAAGGTTGGATAAGCGAGACTCTACTGTAATTCATCTCAAAGCAGATAATCTGAGGGCCATTCCACACAGACAAATAACCCAGAATATCAAGGCAGAAAATTCCACAATATATTCTTTGAACTGGGTTATTTGAGTCCACACTGTCATGTATTCCAGTTCAAAGTAGATAATGTGGGATTTCATTCATATGTGTAAGGGACTTGGGATCAAATCCTGGGATATACAGCAGTGTAGATCCAGCCCCATGTGTTTATAGGGGGAAAGATACATGACAAATAGCAGAAATCTGAGGGTCTGTTTTCAGCTGACCAGCCAACGATTGTTTACAAAACTGTACGAAATTTTGTAATTAAACCTAATTTGGACACACACAGTTTTCCAGCTTTCTTCCTTGAAGAACACCTGGCTGAAACAGACCAAGAAGCTTTGTGCAGGCAAAGTCAAATGGCTGTATTATTTGGGACTAGAAACATGAACATTTTTTGTACCCCAGTTTGAACTATATTTTGTACATGAGGAGAAACTAGAATACTTCCGAACACATAATTTAAAAACCAGATTTCCACACAGTTGAAGAAATTTGCTAAATGAATGAACAAAAATTTGATTTACATCAAGGCAACGGCATATATGCATGGGACACATAATATATTTTGGCTACCTTATTAACAAGTCTTAGAACTTGATATTTTACAGTAAAATAATTGACACATGAAATAATTCTTTTCTGATACCACAAGATGGTGCCACAATTCTACAGTATTTTGTAAGAATGGTTTTTTCCCCAGTAAAATATACTCATGATACTGTGTGGGTACAGATCTAGTGCCGGATTCAAAATACCTGCTTCTCACTTATACCAAAATCCTATGACAGCCCCTGTATCTTCAATGTGTGCAGATAGGAGGAAAAGAAATAACAGCCTGGCCCAAGTGCCCTATCCCGATAAGAATGTGGCCAGACTGTTATTTCTTTTCCTCCTATCTGCACCCATTGAGAATTGTGGCACCATCTTGTGGTATAAGAATTAACTTATGGTGTTTATGAGAAATACTCTGAGAAGCATAGTAAACAAACTGCTTTGAAAAAGCTTTGAAAAATTAGATGCCAGTAATATAGTGATATGGTTTATGTACTAGATGATGTTATCATAGGTTTCTGGTCCTAGTCTAATCTGGCAGTTTTCCTTTTGGCAATATGGATGCGTCATAAATGGAAATATAGAGATTTGTAGGTTTGACTTTTGCAGATTTGATTAAAGTGGTCTCTCTAGGAATCTCTAGGTCTCTGATCCCTTTTATGTCACCTTCCAGGTGAAGTTGACCTGAGTCATGTTGGAGGATCTAAAAATTCTTAGAGAGGTGTTCTTTTATATAAAATAAAAGTGTTTTTAATGAGCATTTTTTCCATTTCCGCAGGGCTTCTGCAAAATGGAAAGAGAATGTGCTAGAGCAGTGTTTCTCAACCTGGAGGGAGGGGGCTTTCAAGGGCGTTTTAGAGGGGTTGCCAAAAACCATCAGAAAACATATTTCTGATGCTCCTAGGAACCCCTTTGGCAGAGAAGGCTGAAGATCTCTCCGCCTGTCCTCTTCCTTTTTGGAAACAGACAGTGAATCCTCCCACCAAAAGCCCCCCTCTGCTGCAACTGGTCGACCTCTCAGCCAAGGGGAGGGCTGTTTCTGACACTCCAAACAGGAAGGGGAGAGCAGGCATGCTTGGCATATGGAAGCATGGTGCACAGGTGCAGGCAAGGGAGAGCGTGTGAGGCTGGAGGGAGGCTTGTGTCAGCAAGTCCCTTCAAGGCATGGGAGTTCTGTGTGGAAGGTTTGGCCCAATTCTATCATTGGTGGGGTTCAGAATGCTCTTTGATTCTAGGTGAGCTATAAATCCCAAAAGTCAAGGTTTATTTTCCCCAAACTTCACCAGTGTTCAAATTTGGGAATATTGAGTATTCATGCCAAGTTTGGTCCAGATCCATCATTGTTTGATAGTTTAGTCCAAATCTATCATTGCTCTATGGATGTAGGTGAACTACAACTCCAAAAGTCAAGGTCAATGCCCACCAAACTCTCCCAGTATTTTCTGTTGGTCATGATAGTTCTGTGTGCCAAGTTTGTTTCAATTCCATCGTTGGTGGAGTTCAGAATGCTCTTTGTTTGTGGGTTAACTATAAATCCCAAATGACAAAATCAATCTACTCCAACCCTACCAGGATTCAAATACATCCTGCATATCAAATATTTGCATTATAATTCATAACAGTAGCAATATTATAGTAATTGAAGTAGCAATGAAAATAATTTTATGGTTGGGGGTCATCACATGAGAAATTGTGTTAAGGGGTTGCAGCATTAGGAAGGTTGAGAAACACTGTGATAGAGAATGTAGAGGGGGCTGATTTTAATGAGCAAGAATTTTTCAATTTGTATACACTGTTTAGTGTAGTTCTTCCATCTATAAAAATAAAAATGTAATGTTCGTTTGTGGGATTAACATAACTCAAAAACAACTGGGTGAATTGACGCCAAATTTGGCCACAAGACACCTACTAACCCAAGGAGTGACCATCACTCAAAAAATTTGATTTTGTCATTTGGGAGTTGTAGTTGCTGGGATTTACAGTTAACCTACAATCAAAGAGAATTCTGAACTCCGCCAATGATGAAATTGAACCAAACATGGCACACAGAACTCCCATGAATAACAGAAAACAATAGAAGGGTTTGGTGGGCACTGACCTTGACTTTGGGAGTTGTAGTTCACCTACATCCAGAGAGCACTGTGGACTCAAACAATGATGGATCTGGACCAAACTTGGCAGGAATACTCAATACGCCCAAATATGAACACAGATGGAGTTTGGGGGAAATAGACCTTGACATTTGGGAGTTGTAGTTACTGGGATTTACAGTTCACCTACAATCAATGAGCATTATGACCCACCATGAACTGTTTACCCACAAGCATAGAGAAATTACATATATTAGAAACCAACACTTTCTCGTTACTTTATTTTCTAGATCACCAGACTGGGCCACAGCAATATGTGGTAGGGGACGGCTAGTATTGTATAAAAAGACAGTGTAAGGTTATGAAATCAATCATATTTTACAACAAAAAAGGAAGAGCTGTTTTCTCATTATCTGTACACTGCACCATTAAAAATGAACTGATGGACATAAGGTTAACACACTTTCTGATTAAAAAGTTTCCTGTGTAACACACAGGTACACAGTATTTTAGAATGTAAATACGTCAAGTGCCTTCCTCTCCCCAACTCCTGTGTTTCACCCGAGTATATCATTTTTATAGTTGTTTTAAATAAATGTTCGTCTCTGAAGAGTCATTTTATATGACTTCGAATCATAAAAAGTGTTGTGTATCTTTGTATACAGACTGGATGGCCTCCATCTGTGCCGCCGCTCTTAAAACGTGTCAGGTAATACAGCACTAAAACGCTCAACACGTTTCCCAGTCAAAGTCTCTGGCGTCACTTATAAATTTTAATGTTTGGGATCAAAATGACCTTCACTTTGTCAGTATGAATGGAAGCTACAATAGGGTAAGGGTAGGTGCTTTTGAACCAAGAATGAAGGTTTTTTTTTAAAAGAACTTTAAAAGGACACATTTACAATATGTGTACTTGAGTTTTCATTAAGTCTTGTACAGCTTTACAGATGGCACGATGGTATGTACACAATTCTCTTGGGTGCAATATGCGAGTCCCAGCTGGAGTATTTCCAACAGGATGTAAAGCGCGGTCCTTGAGCCTGCCCTCTTAAAAAACATATTACTTCGCCCAGTGCCAGCAAATGTCAATACCAAAATAGAGTGAAGGAACAGGAACAATTTCACTTGCATACAGATGTTATTTGCACAGAAAATAGTCAGATGTGGCTAGGTGAAAATTAAACCAATGACAAAATATTACAAAATATTTATTTTCATTAAAAGAAAATCTTAAATAATTTCAGGCACAAAAAAGATCACAAAAGGAATCAAACAGCTCAAAAAATTTACAGACCCATGTAATTGCTTTCAGATAGCTGGCTGCGTAAAGCAGAATACTCTTAAGAGGTGTTACTTGAGGTCTTCAACAGCTCCGAGGTTTCTTCAATCCTAGAGATATTATAGCAAATAGGTTAAATAGGCCAAACCAAATTGGCCTCTTACAAAGAAGTGACATTAAATAAGCACCTAATGGATTCCCCCCCTATTTATATTGAAGATATTTATAGGTTGAAGAGGCAGAACAGAAATAAGATTAACATTTGAAAAACAGGTCAAGCACATTTTACTTTCATCATTAACATTTTAAACATTGCATTAGGAAGCCAATTTGGATTAAAACGTTCTTTTAAAACATCTAAATGATAATCTAAAATAGAATTACACACAAGTGGAAAAAATAAGGCGAAGTTTCCCAGACAGACTACTTCAAAGTGCTGTTTTAGTTAGTTCAGAAGTGCCATGTGTTTCTATCAAACATTTTTAAGTTTGAAGAGAAATATTACTTCCTTTTTTAAAGCCATTGATAGGAAAACCTAATATCGAATAAATTAAATCAGCACTCTAATCTCTAAGAGCTACCAGTGAACTCACCTAAAGTTGCATTTTTGAAATAAAAATACTGACTCATCTAACAAACACAGAACTGTTGCTGGATTTATTATCCTGTACAGTCTTAAAGGAAATGCCACACCTGATGCAAAGACCTTTGAGGTTTAGAAAACACATGTACTTTCTATAGATGTTTTAAACCAAAACAATTCCCTGCTGAGAAATAAATCTGACCTGCTTCACCCCCCACCCTCCCCGATACTTACATTTTGCTTATTCTTTCCATTCGTTGTATTGTTGCATCCTGTAATTTAGAAGGCAAAAGATTAAAATGTATTCTTCAAAGTCCATGTTTTTCAAAGTTCAAATATATACAGGTAGAAACAAACATGCCCAACCACTTATTTTATCTGGAACACCTTGAGAGGGAAAAACAAACATGTTTTACTCTAAACCTTTGTAAAAACAGATCAATAAACATCTGCGAATTTGCAGAGTTTGTTTTTAGAAAGTACCGAAGAAGAAGAAGAAAAGAAAAATAAGCTATAAGTAACAGCATCTTTTTTGCTAGGAGTAGAATATTACGTACAGATCAAAACTAACAAAAGGATCAAATCACTTTGGTACAAGGCTCAGAACACTGCATTTTACAGTAAAATAATAAAAATAAATAATAAAACTTTATTTGTATTCTGTCCTTATCTCTCCAGGGAGACTCAGGGCGGATTCCACCATACAACTCCAAAATTTTAATGCCTCAATAAAACAAACAAATACCGACGTATAATTCCACATATGAAAACAATATAAAATCTAACATCAAATTAGATTGACATTTGGGAGTTGTAGTAATTTATTGATGTCAGATTAAACCTGACATCAATAAATTGAACATATGTAGCCAGACACAAAATATATAATGATTTTGTATAATTATACAAAAGCATACATATTCTCAGCACAATTTTTCCCCGATTCCTGTAAAAATTGTTTAGATTGATTTGGGACTGTTTGGAAACAAGCTCTACATTTCTACTTACTTCTGAAGCTTCTGACAGACCGTGGTTATTAATGGCTGTGGCTTTGGGAGATGGTTCGGCAGATAATTGTGAACTGTATCCAGATGACTGGTGAAGGCTCTCTGGCAGCTCCTCCTTTTCTTTATCTGTGAAGCATTCATTTTAAAGATCAACTTTGCCATTCTGCTCTCTTGCAACATGTCAGTAATAAAAGGGTTTGATTTACAATACATATTGACAAAAACATTTATAGAAAAGAACTAGCAAAGTTTTAAGACATTTATCTCATAGCCATGTTTTGGAACCATGCATTGCAATCGCACTATAAAAACAATCAGCTAAACCTATCTACAGATGTCATCAATGTTATCATAATTGCCATCAATGCAGTTGATGCAGATGCCATAATTCACGACGTCATGATTTTCATATAAATATTTTTCAAAGAGCTTGTAGTCAATGCTTACTCAATTTATTTTTTGTGTCAGGAACGACTTGAGAAACTGCAAGTCACTTCTTATGTGAGAGAATTGGCCATCTGCAAGGACACTGCCCAGGGGACAACCGGATGTTTGATGTTTTACCATCCTTGTGGGAGGCTTTTCTCATGTCCCCACATGGGGAGCTGGAACTGAAAGAGGGAACTCAACCCACTTTTCCCGGGTTCAAACCGCTGACCTGTTCATCAGCAGTCCTGCCGGCACAAGAGTTTAACCCACTGCGCCATCGGAGGCTCCTCCTCAGTTAATTAAAAATATTTAAATCGTCTTTATGGATAACAAAAATGGCATCTAGTGTTCAATCCTTTGAGAAATTCAATTCTGAGCTTGACAGTATCCAATTTTTTTTTACAGATTATCCAAGAGAAAAAAGGAAAACTCCAAAGGTCAAATTCCTATAAAGATACAATAGCTATATTTGTTCTACAGCAAGAAAACATAGTATTATGTAAAAGATCATTCTTAATGGTGAACCTCAAACAAACAAACAGCAGCTGTAATATAACATATGATAAATCAATTCCCACTTGTAGGCTAGGAATGAGCTGGACTCAGTTAATATGTTTTAGAGATTATGGAAGAGGAAGTGGTAATATGTTCTACTTTTTCTGGGTAATGTGATACAAAGTTTTAAATATGTCTCTTGCAGATGAGGTTAGAAAAATATTGGAATGATAAACAACATAGGTCAGAGCAGAAGGGACAAGGCCCACAGATTAATTTTGTTACCGACAAGCTTTGGCCATTATAGTATACATATTTAAGGAAAAAGTCTCAAAACGATAACAAGGGGCCCTTGTTAGCAGTAACAAAGTAGGGAAAAGGAATTTCTCTGAACTTTATGAACTTAATTTTACCAAGCCAGTATGATGTTCTTTTTAGTTAAGAAAAACCCACATTAACAAAGCTGAAATAGCTAAAGAATTAGCCAGCATCCTAACAGTTATAGAAAACTAAATGTATTTATTTATTTAGTTACTCCATTTCTACCCCACTTTTCTTGACCTGAGAGGGGACTCTAAGAGGCTTACAAATCTGCCAAAAATTCTCCCCGGAGAGACTCAGGGCGGTTTCCAACACATGTGGCAAACATTCAATGCCAACAAGAACACGTATAATCGATTACATCAAAACATGTCACATCACAGAAGATATAAGACCATTACTATAAACTTAATACCAAATAGGAATTAAAGAAAAAATAAAACTAGACAATCCTAACAGATATGATTATGTAATATGGATTTAAACAGAATAAGAATGAAAAACAACTACCGCCCTATTAAGGGATAAAACTCTCTCCCTCTGGAGGCCAGAACCGCCCCATCCATCCTAACATTTAGGAAACGGGTGAAGACGTGGCTGTGGAGTCAGGCCTTCGATGAATGAGACAACACCATAGGACCCTGGATGGAAGTTGATGTAGATCCATCTTAATAGGACGACTGACCACTGTAGTTTTATATATAGTGTTTTTAAAGTTGTTTTTGTAATTGTGATATATGATATTTTAATGAGTGTATATGTTTTTTATGGCTGGAAACCGGGCTGAGTCCCTCAATGAGGTTGAGAAGCTCGGTATAGAAAACTGTGAAATAAATAAATAAATAAAATGGATGCCAACAACAAACAGGCTGAGGTCAGTTTCAATATCTAAACAGGATTTACTATATCTAGACCATGTTAGACGGCAAGAGAGCAACACCCAAAAACAAAGCAGGATCATAGAAGTGTTGTCCTCTAGAATAAGTACAATTTTATTTGTTTAGATCACATTAGGACATGACACCAGTTTAAAAGACTACATTACATTATTGCTTTAAAAGTAAATCAAGAAAAACTGCATGGAATACCCACCTGGAGAAACCGAAGTCACATTACTGGTGGAGATATTTTCTTCATCCATGTTATTTAAGTCTATAGATAAATCAACCTGAAATTACAAGACATTTTGCCATTCCATTTAATGAAGAAGAGATCAAAAGCTCATATGTGCCAGTTTTTTCCTCTCCAACTACAGATTATGGCAATACCCAAAGAAGACAAACTACGATTACATTTAAAAATCAAATCATGTTCTTTAGACTACGCCAAATCCTTTGGCAGAAAAAAAATTGTAGCTAGCTACTTGTTTCTCACTCCACTTATTTAAGTGTAGTTCTGTTATTATCCTTCTGGTTTCTGTGAGAATTAGCAATTTGGTCTCCCTCCAGCAACTTCTCCTTTAACCTAAAAGTAATTTCTAGTGGGCTGAAAAACTCTCTGGAGTATGTTTCCGATGCCATAAAGGGCTGCAGCAGAAGGGAAAGACTTCACTCATGTCTAAGAATATCATCTGATTTTGGCCTCACTGTTTATACTTCATAACCCAAAGGTTGAGTTCCACAGATGTATTTCTTGTAGTAGAAGTCCTGTTCTATAGCAACAAAAGTTTTTTTTTTTACTTAACACTAGATGCCTACAAACACATTGATAATTAAGATCTACAGATGTGCACCTGTATGGGAAGGCATTGTATGTTCTTCCTGTTCAATGCTTTGCTGGTAGTTCTAGCCTAAATCATAGAATGCTAAAACAGCCAGGCATTTCTTCCATTACAACTTCTCAGGACTGAAAATCCATTGTTTTCAAAGAATTAATTGTTTTCAAAGAACCAATATTCCTCCAAAATAACACACACATTTCAATATAATAGTAAATGACTAAAGGCACAGGGAATGCAACTGGTTGAACAATTTCAGCTGGATAAAATTCAAGGAATGAAGAAAATAAGGCTTGATTAAGATATATAGGAAACATGCAAAGCACCCATTAGATTTCTTGAATTTTTGTTTTGGTAAACTGCTTTGAGTCCTGGTTTTGGGGAAAATGTGGAATATGAATGGATGAATGGATGGATGGATTGATCGATAGTATATTTCCCCCTAAAACTGGACAAGCAACAATTGTACAAACAATAGTATTTACTGAGCCTAAGAGAACTGTTTCCTGACTTACCCAAATACTTATGACAAAAATTACCACTACATCCATTTGGTTTCAAACAAACTCTGACAAACTGCAAGCTGTACCTAGCCTCTAAATGTCCAGAGAGGCTACGCTTGACCACCCCCAATATAATGAGATTAAAAGCTTTCCCTAAGTGGTTAGAAGGTACACATAACCTCAAAACAACTTAGAGTACCTAACCTAAAATAAAATAAGTTACTTTCAGTACGCTTCTGTTTCAGAAAGACTTTTTCCAAAAAAAGACACCACCTTTGTCTTCCAGTAGATGTCACTATGCACCTTCTTGAAGACATTATGTGAAAGAACAAACAAATATGGGCTATCTCATACACATGGACAAATACCGAAACTATAAAAAAATGTTATGAACCATAATCTATGGCCAATGCAACTAACAAATGATACCTGTCTACCTGTCTAGGTTCACATTTCCAAAACTTAGGCAAGCCTTCACAGCCCTTTGTTTTCAAAGATACACAGGCACCACTCTGGCTCTTTGTTTATGTGTTTGCCTGGCCCAGGAAATTGAGGATTTGCCTCACTATTTGTTTTCCTGCCCTCTGTATTCTGAGCCAAGAATTAAAATCCTGGGGCCTATTCTTTATCACTTTCAATACGGTGTCAGAAAAGATTTTCTACCTTTTGGCGGATACTAACCCTGTGATTACTCACAAGATGTCTCTTTTTGCAGTGTTTGCCTTATATGTGTAAGACTTATAGTCTAAGCATCAAATAAACTTGGACTTTGAACTAACAAATGATCATGCATACAAAAATATAAGCCTGACTAGAATATGACAACTTAACAATAAAAAGGTAAACATAAATGGGCGACTTCTTAAATTCAACAAATTTAGCAAGGAATCCGTTACATTTTGCTATACAAAATTATCACCTGTTGCTTATAACACAATCACAAATTGCTAGCACATTGACAGTAACTCTGTAACAGTTTTTAATGGCTGGCAACAAATCAGTAACTTCGGGTGGAAAATAAAGATTAAGGACCTTATCTGATGGGCAAGGGGAAAGCGTGGGACATTGGAGGGAACCATCAGGTTATTCCCTCCCATTGGGGTCCGTCTTCTTCCCACATCATTTTCCCGCTTCCTCTTCTCCTCTTTAATGAGGAGTTGGAAAACACCCGAGTCCTTTGGGCTCCACTTCTCTCTGCTGCTGAAACGGAAGTAGCCCTGCATCATGTGATGGGCTCAGTGGGACTCCGTTCCAGCAGCAGAGAAAAGAGGGAGAAGACACTCCTCTCCCTGCATCTGATAACGTCCTAAGAAAGACATTTGGAATTACAGATTATGAAGGACATTGTGAATCCACATACCATCTTAAAACAACAAAGTAAATGTTTTTACACTCCTATACTGAAATACTATTAGTTAGTTCCAATTAGAGGAGAACTATTCAATTATTACATGGCAAGAAGAAAGAAGCAAAAGTGTTAAACCTATCTCTGTTGGGCAGAATCTAAATTATAAAAATGAATGTGTTACCTAGAATGTTATTTCTTTTAAAATACAAAACTGGTTATCATAAAAGACATTAACGAGACTATGGACAAAGATCAGGCCAAGATTACACCAGGAAATGCTGCTAAGACTCCCAACAAAAGCATTTTACAGAAAAGAATTAACTGACAAAGTGATTAACATATCAAGATATGTTGGTAAATTGCCAAGGAGAGTATACTATGAAAATTAAAGAACAGCAATTGAGGGAGAGTTATGAATTTCAATTATTATCCAATATGCAACTGTTTGAAGACTTTCAATTTGATTTTTTTTTCATGTCAGGAGTGACTTGGAAACTGCAAGTTGCTTCTGGTGAGAAAGAACTGGCCATCTGCAAGGACGGTGATCTGATGACTGTTGCTTTTATCAATTAATATGATAAAAATATATAGAAGTGTGACACATTTTAAGTACAAAGAGGCAAAAGTTTAAAAGTGAAATTAGACTTGTAGAAAAGGTAGTTTAAAGTGATTTAACTTTTCTTTTTTCATTTTCTAAGTTACTGTATTTATTATATATCTACGTAGTGTTGATATGGTGTTTGTCGCTGTTTTGTTGTATTTTGTTTCTCTCTAGTTTGTAATATATGTCATAGATCTTATGTAATTTCTATTTTATGCAGAATTTTATTAAATAAAAAAGACTGATAAATTGTTACACTGTGAGCCAATATGTAGGTAAATCTAAATAATTCAATTAGTCTCCTCTAGATGGGATAAACAATAGGATACAGGCCCTCTTATTAACTGAAAAGGAATAACTAATAGCAAAACATACCTTTTTGGAATGAAGTAACAGTTGAGTTTCAAGAAGCAGGACTCGGCTCAATAGATTATTCCAGTCTTTCTCATCGACAGTAATCCTTCCTTGCAGTTTCTCTTCTAAAGCCTGAAGCTTGTCTTCCACCCACTTTAGTTTATTAAGCTTTTCCTCCAGTTCAGCAATTTGGCTCTTTAGTTTTTCTATGTCATTGTTATCCTTCATATTCTGAAAATAATTATTGTGTCATTTATTCAAGCTTTAAACTTTTATAATGTCTTAATGTGTCAACGTGTGAAGAGGTCTCCATGCAAAAATATACTATTTTCCATTTAATTTCAGCAGCAAAATAATGAAGAAGAGACTTAAAAGCAGCCTTGCCTGTTTGCATTCTTTACCCAACCTATCAGCACCACTGTCCAAACTATGAGCCACACCGACGGCTTTGATTCCTTCTTCCTCCAAAACTTCTCTGACAGTAGCTCCAGGTGTATAAGTACAAGTTAGACTGCTAGAACATTCGATTTCAGGATTCCTTGTAAGTGGGGCATTCTATGAAAAAGGAACAGCAAAGGGTGTTGAAACAAACAAACAAACAAAACAAGAGCAACTCACTGACTAACTTCAAACACTTGAAGAATATGAAAGACTTCAACTGTGCAGTTAGTTTTAAAAGACCAAACAAAAAGACGAACAAAGGCCCTCAAATCTAAGGGTCAAGCCCTATTTTTTGATTCCACACAGATCAGATGTGGGAAATATTTGATAGCACCTCCTTCTCCCCAACAGTTTTCCCAGAAATTCCACCCAACAGATCATATGTCAAGGGACAATGGGAACTGTAGTCCAAAATATCTGGCGGACTGGAAGGGCAGAGGCAATTTTGGCCTCTTGTTTTTTCCCTTGCATCACACAGCGATAATGCCATATTCAATTTGGTAGAGCAGCTTCCCGTGGGTACATTACAGACTATATTTACTATACTTGTATACTGCCTTTCTCAGCCTATCGGCAACTCAAGGCAGTTTACAACAAGTCAGTACACATAATAGCAAAATACAGACTAAGCATTAAGACAATATTAAACTACAATAAAAACAATAAAAACCAGCACCATCATCAGCGTCTCCTAGTTAAAAAAGTTGTCCAAATTCCATTGTTGAGTTATTCTATTTCCTATGTCAGTTACTCTGCATTCGTAAATGCTTGCTCATATAATCATGTATTAACTTGTCTCCGAAATGTTAAGAGTGAGGGAGCCGATCTAATCTCCTTAGGGAGGGTGTTCCATAACCAAGTGGCCACCAAAGAGAAGGCCCTGTCTCTCGTCCCCGCCAAATGTACTTGTGATGAAGGCAGGATTGAGAGCAGGGCCTCCCCGGAGATCTTAAAGTCCTAGATGGTTCATAAGGGGAGATGCGTTCGGACAGGTAAATTGGGACAGAAACGTTTAGGGCTTTATAGGCTAAAGTCAGCACTTTGAATTGTGCCCGGTAGCAGACTGGCAGCCAGTAGAGCTGGCGCAGCAGAGGAGTTGTATGCTCCCAGAGCACCGTTCCTGTTAACAATCTGGCTGCCATCCGTTGGACCATTTGAAGCTTCCGGACAGTGTTCAAAGGCAACCCTCACGTAAAGCATGTTGCAGTAGTGTATACGAGATGTAACCAGAGTGTGGACTACCATGGCCAAGTCAGGCTTCCCAAGATACGGGATAGATATTCTATCTATCTATCTATCTATCTATCTATCTATCTATCTATCTATCTGTCTGTATATAATAAAAGTGTGTGTGTATGTATCTATGTACCTTTCTATATATCTATCTATCTATCTATCTATCTAGTATCTATCTATACATGTTTGTATGTATCTTTGAAGATGGCACCCACATCCAGAGAGTCCTCCCACCTATGATAGATCTGGACCAAACCTGGCACACATACCCATCATGAACAACTTTAAGTACTGGTGGTCTTTTGGGGGAGTTGACCCTGGATGAGAGTTATAGTCCACCCACATCAAGAGAGCACTGTGAACCCCACTGACAATGGATCTGAACCACACTTGGCACACATAACCATCAAGACCAACTTCACTTAATAGTGTGGTTTGTGGTGTGTGAGAGAGACCAAGGATAAAGAGAGATGTATTCCACCCACATCCAAACGAACTTCAATGGGCATCCTACATCCAGAGAGACATACATATTTCGAACATGACCATTCATACAATCCAAAACCAAACAATGACTTCTTATATTTATAATTACAAAATACCTAACCCAGCATCATCAGATACCTAATCTAGTAAAATATATATGTGGATATTGTTTCCAAAAGGTATCAAATCCAGCCAAACAATTTTTACGGGAATCTAAAAAAATGTTGAGGATATGCATTCTTTTGCTATAAAATGCAGCTTTCCAGGCGCTGTACTGAAGTGATTTGATATATTTCTATAGTTTTGATATGTACATAATATTTTACTCTCAGCTAGCAATGTATTGCCATCTATAACTCATTTTTGTTTTCTTCTTTTGAATTTGGTACCTCTTGGAAACAAATTCCATATATATTTAGACTATATAATATTCATGCACAAATGCTCTGCTCATCTGAACATAGTCATGTGCACTCCTGTTAAATAAAAATTTCGATTATATTTCAACAGAAAAATAATGGGAAAGATACTAAAAGCAGTCCTACCTGTTCATATAGACTGTCCGACCTATCAGCTACATGATCCAAGCTATCACCCATACTGACAGCTTCTGTTTTGCCTTCCTCCAATACTTTCCTGAAGCCATCTTCAGAAATCCATGTGCTAATTAGATTCCTAGAACGTTCTTCAGGTTCCTTTGTAAATGAAACACCCTAAAAAACCATAAGAGCACAGTGTGTTGCAACATAAAAATAGCAAGCTACTCACTAATTGAAACCACTTATGGAAGTGTTTCTCAAACTCCTCCAAACGTTCTGGACTTCAGCTCCCACAACTCCTAACAGCTGGTAAGCTGGCTGGGATTCCTGGGAGCTGACATCCAAAACACTTGCAGTAGCAGAATTTGAGAAACATTGACTTATGGAATACACTGAACTGACCCTTGAAAAATACAGGTACTTAGAAAAGATAAAAGAAGAACACAGACAAAGACTCTCAAGCCTAAGGACCAGGTCCAAATTTTGATTCACTATCAATCACACATCTACAGATCGAGTTTGGGAAACCTTTGGCACTCCCTCTTATAACTTTGGACATCTGTTCCCAGAAAGCATGGGTTATAGGAGCTATATCCTAAAACATATGGAGAGCCACATACTGGTGAGATCTAGAACTGACTTTTTCAGGACTAGTAGTTCTGCTGATATCTTGATCCAGTGAGCAATAAACCACATGCAGATTACCTGCTTTAGAAACTTATGAGGATGAGTTTTTTTTAAAAAAAAACTTCTCAGCGGCTAGTTGTATGCATGCATTTTTTTGTGTGTCAGGAGTGACTTGAGAAACTGCAAGTCGCTTCTGATGTGAGAGAATTGGCAGTTTGCTAGGACGTTTCACAGTGAACACCCGGATGTTTTACTATCCTGTGGGAGACTTCTCTCATGTCCTTGCATGGGAAGCTGGAGCTGACAGATGGGATCTCACCTCGCTCCCCCGGATTCAAACCCCTGACCTTCGGTCAGCAGTCCTGCCACCACAAGGGTTAAACCCATTGTGTCACCGGGGACTCCATTATGTATACATAAAAAGAAGTAAATAAAGCTACATGGTAAAAAAAAAAAAAGCAACTACGGACTTACTCCACATTAACTGCTGGCAATCCAGGTGACGGCCCACTACATCTAGCAAAGCTCCATCTTTGTTTGGCCTTAACCTGACTATGTTCACGGGTACTGGCTCTAAATACTTTCACTTGCTTCAAGGTTCAGAGCAGTGAATTTCAAATCATTTAGGATTTGCCAAGCATTCATTAAAGACTATGTAGCATCCTTGTACCTGCGTCTATTTCTAAAACATTTATTTGTATACCGTTTTCATATTTTAAAAAATTAATATTTTTGTTTTTAAATTATATTTTTTAATTAGTGATTTTAATGTATATGTTTTGTTTTAGCCTATGAATGTATATAAGGCATTGAATTGTGCCTTTTTTGTGAGCTGCCCTGAGTCCCCCTCAGGGTGAGAAGGACCAGATATAAATGCAGTAAATAAATAAATAAGTAAATAAATATAACACAGTCTGAACGTATGTAACATATGTAGCTCAAAAAACTGCATTGCTCTTCCCTGTTCTTTACTACTGCAACTAGTAACGGCCTCTGCTGTTTTTTTCACATTAATTGTTAAATGGTTAGAGTCAACAAATGTACTTCTCTAGTTTTCATCTTCCAGGATGCTTTGAGATTTATAGTACAAAAGTCTAAAATACTTCCAAGTAGTCCTACCTTTTGAAAAAAAACTTCTAAAATACTCCCAAGTAATCCTACCTGCTGAAAATCCATAGCATAGATAGTGGTAACTTCGAGCTGATTAGAAAAGTCTACATATTGCTGTGGTTTAATAGAAGAAGCTCTCTTTTTTGCTTGGGATTTCACCTAAAATGTATAAAAATTCAGTTTATATTAGTGATACTTCTTTTAACGTGGCAAGGAATGCATTCTTTAAAAGCTAGAGTTCTGAATCCTTTTTACATAAACTTTTCCCCCAAGAAAAGGAAAAGCTGAAAAAATGGCTGAGAATGATAAATAAAATGTTTATGTCAAGGTGTTCATATAATGCTAAGAGGTCATTATTCTCCCTTCCACTAAATATTTGTAAGCATACTTGATGTTGGAAAGAGATTTTGAATTGTGTGTAACAATGCAATACATGATTCTGCCGAGCAAACGGCAACACAGTATGAAAGTAGCTGCGAGTCAAAACTGTCAGTTCCTTTTGCTACTCATCTGCCTCAGATTCCCCTCTCGTTTGCAAGACATAGATAACAGTGGCCTATTTTTGGAAACACTCACATGAAATCAAAAAATAAACTGATGTGAAAGCTTGCCTCAGCCAGGAACACCTTCATTTTTAGATGTTCATGATGATAAAAATGGAGGTGCAGAAAATGAACAAAAAAACCCTATCATCAGTCGTAGCTCAAAAATGTGCCTATTTGACAAAGTTTAATGCAGCAAAATTAGCAATAAATCTAATGTAGGAAATCTCCCTCTCCTGATATTTTTTTAAGTGAATGCTTATTCTATCTGCTTGACAAAGTGAAGTAATCTATTTTCAGAACATGACATAACATTCTTAATCATCCAAAGTCTGCTTTCTGGCTTTAACCATTAGTGCTGCTCAGCAAAAATTAAGATGATTATTATTATTATTTATACCCCACTTTCTCTCTCCACAAAGGAGATTCAAAGCAGCTTACACTAAAATGATTTCAATACAATTTAACATCTATAAATATACAAACATTAAAACAGAATTAAAAATCAATTGTATTTTTTTAAAAAAAGGGTTGTTGTAAGTTTTCAGGCTGTATAGCATGTTCCAGAAGCATTCTTTCCTGACATTTTGCTTGCATCTATGGCAGGCATCCTCAGAGGTTGTGAGGGCAGCTGGAAACTAGAAAAATGGGGCTTATATATCTGTGGAATGTCCAGGGCGGGAGAAAGATTGTTGGAGGTAGGTGCGAATGTTTCAATTGGCCACCTTCATTAATGTTTGAATTGTAATTTTTTATAGATTTTTTTTCTTTTTCCAGAATACTTAAAAAAACCCAATAACATTATTACCTTATACACATTACTCAGTTCTTTATGTCTTTTATAGACCAAACTAATAATGTCACAAACAATTTGTATTTTTCTCTCTGCAAAGCCATACTGGAGGAATTGCTGTTTCGACAAGATTGGCTTATACTGAAATTGATCACGGAGAAGCTGCAAAGCAAAAAAAAAAAAAAAAAAAACAGGGGGGGGGGAGTTAGCTTTTGTTCTATTTCAATACTGAATAAATATTCTATATCTGAAGCTTTATTATGACTCAGTAATTAATCCAAAGAAGTAGGCTTCTATCAATGGAAATTCATGCTAAAATAAAATCCAGTTTTAAAGGTGCTGCCAGTTTTTTTTTTTATTATATTCTAAAACTAACCAACACTTGAAGGTTGCTTTAAGGCAGGGTTTCTTAAACTTTTCTACTCGTCACCACTTTTGGCCTGAGGTACAGGTACCACATTTTCCGGTGTATAAGATGATTGGGCATATAAGATGACCCCCAACTTTTCCAGTTAAAATATAGAGTTTGGGATATACTCGCCGTATAAGACCACCCCTCTTCCAATGCACACCAAATAAAAAATTTAAAAAACATCCAATTTGATTTCAATATGGTATTATTATTACCATGCCTCCTTCTCTGCCTCTCAGGTCTCGCACATGCGCGCCTGAGCCGCTTCACTGCAGTCTTCGGGAGCAAGATCTGAGAGGCAGAGAAGGAGGTACAGTAATAGGATACAAGGGCAGGCGAGACAGATGAAAGAGGCGTGCTTTTCTGGGTACAGTACCTCTCTCTTTTTTTCCATAACCTAGATGTCCTGGACGCCTGCAGCTTGCTCCGCCCTTCACTTACACCTTCCCAGTGAGACGTTCCCCCCCCCCCCACCTCATCATCAGGGCCGTATTAAGTCACTTCTTTCTACGAATCCTGGTCAGTGGATTTTCTTCTATGGTACTTGTACAGTGCCATCCTTGCTGCTTTCATACAGTCACCAGATATGGCAGGGATGCAGCTACGGTCGTTTTTGAGCCCCCCCCCCCCACCATATGTGGAAACCACAGATTCTCCAGTCTAGCTTAGAAGTTTCAGCACCTACCCTATAAGATGACCCCCAGCATTTAAGACGACCCCCGAATTTTGAGAAGATTTTCCTGGGTTAAAAAGTAGTCTTGTATGCCAGAAAATAGGTATAAAATCAAACATTTACTGAGAAAAAAATCAGCATGTGCAAGGCTTGCTAAACAGGCTTGTTTTCATCTTTATGAATTACAGCAGCAGCATCTGCTGCAGAGTCCACTGGAAACACTGCATAACAGACTCATGTAAATGTCTAAAATAGCCACTAGGTGATGTTCAGAAAACTTTCACTGTTGCCTTTTTTTTTTTTTTTGGACTCCTACATTAAGCTACGGTTACTGTTTGTGGTAAGGATCCATAATTTAAGAAGTGGTTATTTAAGGAACTTTTCATTTCAGAAGATCTGATTCAAGAGCTGAGAACACAGTGAAAACACCAAATATAATTCCAAGTTTTTTTAAAAATACTTTGTGTCCAAACTTTAATCCTTGTTCAAACAAACCAATTTTATCTCCAAAACATTATGTGGACGCTGTATCACACTTCTTCTATCCCAATATCAACATGGCAGATTGGGTTGGATTACAGAAGTTTATTAATAGATTTTGGTACTGACACATCAGAAACTTTTTATTACCATGTAGAGAAATTAGGATAGGCAGGAATACACTGACTATTTGAATAGAACAGGAATTTTTGAATGCAGTACTTGTAAACTGATGTGAAATACTGATCCTATTTTACCTTGTCTGCTTTGGTTATTGTGTTGTTAAAGTATGGAAGGGATGTGGAGCCCCCGGTGGCACAGTGGGTTAAACCCCTGTGCCGGCAGGACTGAAGACCGACAGGTCGCAGGTTCGAATCCGGGGAGAGGCAGATGAGCTCCTTCTATCAGCTCCAGCTCCTCATGTGGGGACATGAGAGAAGCCTCCCACAAGGATGATAAAAAAACCATCAAATCATCCAGGCGTCCCCTGGGCAACATCCTTGCAGACGGCCAATTCTCTCACACCAGAAGCAACTCGCAGTTTCTCAAGTCGCTCCTGACACGACAAAAAAAATCTGAAGGTATAATAAATTTTGCCTTAGGCCCCTTCTACACTGCCATATACAATCCAGGTTATCTGATTTGAACTAGATTATATGGCAGCGTAGACTGAGGGCCTTTCCAGAAAGGTCCTATAGCCCAGGATATGATCCCAGGTTTTCTGCTTTAAATTAGATTATATGAGTCTGCACTGCCAGTTAATCTAGGATTAACAGAAAACCTGGGATCGGATCCTGGGATATAGGGCCTGTCTGGAAGGGCCCTGAGGCCCCTTCTACAGTGCCCTATATCCCAGTATCTGATCCCAGATTATCTGTTTGGAACTGAGTCCACACAGCCAGATAACCTGGGATTAGATCCTGGGATATAAGGGCAGTGTAGAAGGGGCTTCAGGAAATCAAGTTCAAAGCAGATGTGGATTATATGCTTTGCTAATCTGGATTATATAGCAGTGTAGAAGGGGCCTTAGTCATCAAGATCAAGCCAGACTTTTGGATCCCTCAGTCCATGTTTACTTAGATACATATTCCCTTTTCTCCATCTCTGATTGACTATATTGTCGTCTATAAAAGATGACATAATAAAATCTGTAAGAACACTTCACCATAAGTCTGCTAGCAGCTCAGACCTGTTTTTGCTTTGCAAACTACCACAAGACTTCAAGATCTGTGTTACTGCGAACAAATAGAAATACCCCATTACCATCCTATGCGACACATACCTTATAAACAGCTTCAATAAAACGGAAATCATTCTTTGCTGTTAGTTCCACACCAGATTCCACCAATAGTTCAGTTATACGTGTTGAGAAAGATGTAAAACAATAACTGATGATATGCAAAAACACAGATGGATCACCCTTTGCCAAACTGTAATGGCAGAAAAATGTGATAATTATCAAAACTTGAAATCTTGTCACAATAGAAGAAGTACATCTGATTTTTTTTCTTTTGATGGAAATACTGTCTTAGTAACAGAGTATTCAGTAAAAATGTTTACACTTATGAAGTGCTTAAAAATTAAGACAAGTTTAAAAATAATTAATTTTCCATGGATGTCAACATAGAGAGTGAAGTCACCTTTTCCCATAACTGGAAAGAAAGGGGATGCAAAATACTTTCCTGCTAATAATTGATATTTCTTCTCTTTTAAAAACACAGATTTAATGCAAATGAAGTGCCTTTACGGAAAGAACTGGTGTATCACCTAAAGTTAAAAAACAGACACAAACCTCCAACTTACCCTGTATAATCCACATCTTTGGGATAATTTAAATGCCGAAGACCTTGCTCTATTTTACGTAGATTTCCTTTCAGGTCTCCTGTAGCCATGTTATAATTCCTTTAACTCTAATTAGTGCTCAATATAGGCTAAAACAGAAAAATGTTGCATTTTCAAATATATATTCCAGATACAATTTTATTCAAACTAAAAAGCTAGTTTAAGCCAAATCTGGCTAAAACTATCTTTATCTACAGTTGCCTAAATACCTTAATAGCACCATGTCAGAAGATAAGCAGGATTGACCTTGGGTTAGTACTTGGAATGGAATCTGCCAACAAAAACTGTACTGATATATTATAGAAGACGGGATTGGCAAAACCACCTCATGAGCATTTCTTACCTAAGAAAACCTAATGAAAGTATATGTAAGTAAATAGGCAACCTGAAGGCATACAAACACATACAAGACATAACAAATTCTTTAGAGCTTTTGGACCCTAAAGAGAACTTATCTCAGGATTTTCTTTACAGGAGTTTGCCTTTGCATTCATCTAAGGCTGAAGGAATATGATCTGCTTAGTTCTACCAAGTCATAGTCCAGCATTCAAACCACTACACCACACTGGCTCTTACACCTTTCCTTTTAGAGAGGTGTAGTTCTCATTTAAAGCTTTTTAAAGGTTTATTAAACAAAAAGGGAATCTTACAAATGTCATTTTTAGTGTTGTAAACAACACACTCCAATTCTACAGCGTGGAAACAAATTCTACTGAACTCAGTGCCAATTATTTCCTTATAGGTCTACCTAGGATATGGCTGTAAAGGTCCACATTCTTGTTTGCCTCAGGGCCCTTCCAGGCAGGCCCTATATCGAAGGATCTGATCCCAGGTTTTCTGCATTAAACTGGATTATATGACTCCCCACTGCCAGATAATCTGGGATATGCAGAAAACCTGGGATTAGATCCGGGTACAGTTTATCCAACATAAACAGACCAGCAGAATGTTGGATAAGCAAAAATGTTAGATAAGGAGGAATTACGGAAAAGCCTATTAAACGTCAAATTATGTTATGATTTTACAAATTAAGCACTCAAACATCGTGTTTTATAACAAATTGACAGAAAAAGCAGTTCAATACACAGCAACGTTATGTAATAATTACTGTATTTACTAATTTAGCACCGAAATATCACAATGTTTTAAAACAGCTGTGCATCCAGCTGTGGCGGGAGGCAGACTGCGTTGGATAATGCATAACTTTGAATAAGCGAAGGTTGGATAAGTGAGACTCTACTGCAGGAATCCTCAAACTAAGGCCCAGGGGCCCTCCAAGGTCATTTACCTGGCCCTCGCTCAGGTTCAACCTAAGTCTGAAATTACTCGAAAGCACACAACAACAACAACAACCCTATCTCATCAGCTAAAAGCAGATCCACACTTCACATTGAAATACTAATAAGCTTATGTTTATTAAAATTGTTCTTCTTTAATTGTTGTATTGTTTTAGTGTTTTTGCACTACAAATAAGATATGTGCAATGTGCATAAGAATTCATTCATGGGTTTTTTTTTTCAAATTATAATCTGGCCCTCCAACAGTTTGAGGGATTATGACCTGGCCCTCTGTTTAAAAGGTTTGTAAATCCCTGCTCTAATGTATATAGGGCCTGTCCGGAAGGGCCCTCATATAATCCAGTTTAAAGCAGAAAATCTGAGATCAGATCCTGTCTGGAAGGGCCCTCGGTGGAAAGACTTTCTAAAAAACGCAAAGGCTTTCTAAAGCAATGAAAATATTGCTATGTAGATCTTGTTTTACTGTAAGGCCACATTGGCTACCTCTAAAAATATATATACTCCTAAGACAACAACAGGTTCATCTACTGTAGTTAATACAGTTTGGCACTACGAAGGCCCCTTCTATACTGCCAAACAATCCAGGTTATCAAATCACATTATCTGCGTCTACGCTGCCAGATAATCCAGTTGAAAGCAGATACTCTGGGTATTATATGGCAGTGTAGAAGGGCCTGTAAACTGCCATGGCTAAAGGATATGGAATCCTGAGAGCTGCAGCTTGGTGAGAACAGGAAAAAGGCCTCAGAAAACTACAACTTCCAGGATTCTATCACATCGAACTATGGCAATTAAAGTGGCATCAAACTGCATTAATTTGTCAGTGTAGAAGCACCCTTGTTTAGTACTGTCCAAAGGGTTGGTGTGTTTCTTGCTGCAAAACACAACGGATACTATGGTATTTATCCACTTCTCCATGGCAGGTCTACACATTTGTGGTTGTTATGTGTTGTGTTTTCTAGGGCTGAGTGTGACTTTGCCTCATTGGACTTCAATGGCCAAAGGAGGAATTCAAACCCAGGTCTCCGGAGTACTAGTCAAACGCTCTAACCACAAATTGAAACAGTTTTAAGGAGAGAAAATAATATGGAACCTTATCACTCAAGGAAGGCAAACTGACATTGAAGCCAGGCAATGATCCCCATCCCACAACACCATGTTATGCCACTGCCAGCCTGTCTCCTTTCTGGGATTAACCTGTCCCCTGCTATTCACTGGAAAGTCTCTAAATAGCTGCCAATCCTGTAACACTTTTGTCATCAGCCTTGTATGATGAGTCTCATTTCCAACATGCCAGCACTGAAGTGCCATCACAAGAGAGACCTACCTCTTCTTTCTCCCCCTTGCTGTTCCTGAGTTGTAGTCTAATAATATGCACAGTGAAACCATTTTCTCCCAAACCAGTTCCAAAATGACCTAAGTCATCCGTGTAGATGTGCCAATAGACATATTTATTTATTTATTTATAGTATTTGTATGCCACCTTTCTCACCCCTGGGAGGGACTCAAAGCGGTTTACACATAAATAATGGCAAGATTCAATGCCTTACGTTGGACACCAATATGATGCCAATACAAACAATTACAATAGTAAAACCACAATTAAATATAAATCACAATTAAAACAATACATCAACAAGCATCAAAACAATAAAACAGTCTCATCAGTCGAATCGCCTTTCCAGTCAATGTCCCTCTAAAATGCTACATCCATCTACTGTCCGAAGGCCTGGTCCCAGAACCATGATTTTAATTTTTTTCTAAAAGTCAGGAGGGAGGGAGCAGATCTTACCTCATTTGGGAGTGTTTTCCATAGGCAGGGGACCACAGCTGAGAAGGCCCTGTCTATCGTCCCCGCCAGATGCATTTATGCTGTTGACGGGAACGAGAGCAGGGCCTCCCCGGATGATCTTAGATTTCGAGGTGGGACGTAGGGGTGGATGCGTATGGACAAGTAAGCTGGGCCAGAACCATATAGAGCTTTATAGGTCAAAACCAGCACTTTGAATTGGGCTCGGAGATGGACCGGCAGCCAGTGGAGCTGGCATAGCAGGGGGGGTGGTATGCTCCCTGTATGCCGCCCCAGTTAGTAATCTGGCTGCCGCCCGTTGGACTAGCTGAAGTTTCCGAACCATCTTCAAAGGCAGCCCCATGTATTTCTACTTAGCTACTTTCTTATCCTTGGGATCTGAGACAATACATATTTATATTTATCGTGTAAGGGGCAGACCAAACAGTTGCATTGCATTTTTTAACAAACAAACAAACAAAACACAAAGTTTGCAAGCTTGGTAGTTGATTAAATGTCCTTTGACCAGTAGCTGGCCACTTGGAGTGCCTCTGGTGTTACTGCAAGAAGGTCCTCCATTGTGCATGTGACAGGGCTCAGGTTGCATTGCAGTATGTGGCCTGTGGTTTGCTCTTCTCCACACTCGCATGTCGTGGATTCCACTTTGTAGCCCCATTTCTTCAAGTTGGCTCTGCATCTCGTGGTACCAGAGCGCAGTCTGTTCAGCGCCTTCCAAGTCGCCCACTCTTCTGTGTGCCCAGGGGGAGTCTCTCATTTGGTATCAGCCACTGATTGAGGTTCTGGGTTTGAGCCTGCCACTTTTGGACTCTCGCTTGCTGAGGTGTTCCAGCGAGTGTCTCTGTAGATCTTAGAAAACTATTTCTTGATTTAAGTCATTAACATGCTGGCTGATATCCAAACGGGGGATGAGCTGGAGATGTCACTGCCTAGGTCCTTTCACTATTGGTTGCTACTTCCCGGCGGATGTCAGGTGGTGCAATACCGGCTAAACAGTGTAATTTCTCCAGTGGTGTACGGCGCAGACACCCTGTGACAATGCGGCATGTCTCATTAAGAGCCACATCTACTGTTTTAGCGTGGTGAGATGTGTTCCACACTGGACATGCATACTCAGCAGCAGAGTAGCATAGCGCTAGGGCAGATGTCTTCACTGTGTTTGTGATCCCCAGTACATAATCGAGAATAATACATACTAGAGAAGAATAAATGCTTCTGTTTCTTCCATAAGCTCCATCACATGAGTCTACACTCTTAACATTAATACCAAACCTTATCATCATGATCTGTGCCAACCTTGTGCTGCTGAACTGATCTGAAGGTTGGCAGTTCGAATACGTGGGACAAGGGGAGCTCTAGGTGAGCCCTAGTTCCTGCCAACCTAGCAGGAAAGGCAATGACACTCCATGCAGTCATGGAGTGTCATTGCCAGGATGTGGCAGGATGTGTCTACGGACCAGGATGTGTCTACGGACAATGCAGACTCCTTGGCTTGCAAACTCTGTTTTGTCTGTTTGTTAAAAATGTAATACAATGTAATACTGACACGATAAATAAATAAATAGCTTGGAAATTGAGATAAGCACCTCCCACAGAGCCGGAGATGAGCACCACCTCCAGAGCCGGAAATGAAAGGAGAAGCCTTTGCCTCTGTATTTGTGTCATTGTATTTCTTTGTAACAAGACACTGAATGTTTGCCTGTGTCTGTTTAAATCCGCAATCCGCTCTGAGTCTCCTCTGGGATTAGGGCGGAATATAAATAAAGTGTTATTATTATTATATTACGCCCCAAAGAACACATAAGGGCCGGTGGGGAAAACAGAGAGGTCCTGTTTGTGTTCCCCGGCGTCTCATATGGAGAGACGGGAATACAAGGCGCTCCAAATCCAGTATTTCTAGATTTAACGACAGCAAGCCCCATCACACAGCATTTGGCACACAGCACACCATCTTTTACATACCAAACACCGAGTCACTCACTGACTGACGCGAGCCCCATTAAAACAACACTTCAACTACCTTGCCTCCGGCGGGTCGAACGGCGCGCTCGACACTCAAACCTTTCTCGCGATGATTGCTTGCCGTATCTTCGCGAGACTTCCATAGATTCTTTGGGGAAGGGAAAGTATCAAGCCCGGAGGTCTCGCGAGAAATCTTCCTCTGCCGAGATTTCAGCTGGTCTCATTCACATGCCCCCAGCATTTAAGGACGGTTGAGAAGGAAGAAAGTTGGGAGATGTGGCTGATAAATAGTATTAATTTCAAAAACTACAGGAATATAATGTATATTATTCAAGCTTATACTGGGCATAAACCCCAAATAAATGTGACCAATCAGTTTAATTATGTAGTTAAATTTATATTTATAAAGTTGCTAAAGGCCTTAAAGGCTCACCAGTTAATTAAGTAGATCTAAGGTTTTGTTGGAATTTTAGTGTGATGTTGTTTGATAATTTTGGTTATATGTATTGATCAGATTTTTTCTCTTAAGATATATGTTTTATATATTATCTGGATCATTAGTTTTACAGCTATTTTAATATATTCTTCCCTCTGTGGCCCCTTCCACACAGCTGAATAAAATCCCACATTTTCCTCTTTGAACTGGAATATATGGCAGTGTGGACTCAGATAACCCAGGGCTCTTCCACGCAACCCTATATCCCAGAATATCAACACAGAAAATTCCACATTATTGGAGTGTGGACTATGATAACCCAATTCAAAGCAGATATTGTGGGATTTTCTGCCCTGATATTCTGGGTTATATGGCTTGGCAGAAGGCCCCTGAGGCCCTTTCCAGACAGGCCCTATATCCCAGGATCTGAAGCTAGGTTTTCTGTTTATCCCAGATTATCCAACAGTGTAGATTTATATAATCCAGATTAAAGCAAAAAAAAAAAAAACAACCTGGGGTCAGATTCTGGGATATAGGTTCTGTCTGAGGGCCCTTCCACAGTCATATAACCTAGACTATCAAGGAACAAAATCCCACAATATTTGCTTTCAACTGGATTATCTGAGTCCACACTCAGATAATGTGGGATTTCCTGCCTTGATATTCTGGGATATAGGGCTGTGTGGAAAAGCCCTGGGTTATCTGACTCCATACTGCCTTATATTATGCAGGCTGTGAGCTGTTTATAGACCTCTGGGGGTCTTTCCTCACAGTCCCTATATCCCAGGATCTGATCCCAGGTTTTCTGTTTATCCCAGATTATCTGGCAGTGCGGACTCATATAATCCAGTTTAAAGCAGAAAACCTGGGATCAGATCCTGGGATATAGGGACTGTGTAGAAGGGCCCTGAGTATCAAGCCAGTGCTGAATCACAGCGACAGTTGTGTTCAAGAGTTTTTGTGCATTTTTTAAAAAAAATCCTCTAACTATTCTTTCCTTATCTGAATCAACACTGCCATATATCCCAGTTCAAAGCAGATAACGTGGGATTTTATTCAGCTGTGGGGAAGGGGCCTCAGGGCCCTTCCAGACAGGCCTTATATTCCAGGATCTGACCCCAGGTTTTCAGTTTAGCCCAGATTATCTGGCAATGCGGACTCATATAATCCAGTTTAGAACAGAAAACTTGGGATCAGATCCTGTCTGGGAGGGCCTGTGACCTCCCACACATCTGAATAAAATCCCACATTATCTGCTTTGAACTGGCAGTGTGGGCTGGACTCAGATAACCCAGTTCAAAGCAGATACTGTGGGATTGCCTGCCTTGATATTCTGGGATATAGGGCTGTGTGGAAGGGTCCTGAGTTCACACTGCCATATATTCCAGTTCAAAGCAGAAAGTATGAGGTTCTGTGCAGCGGAATGGCAGGGGCCCTTCCACACACGGAGAGAAGGCACAGCTCTTATCTCCCAGACGGAGCTGCTGTTTTGAGCTCTCCCGCGGGAAATCGAAACCATCCGGCGTTTCCCAATCGGCAGATTCGTCAAACCTCACTCGCTTGTCAAAAAAAAAATTTTTTGAGAACAATGCTCAGTTATGCGGAGAGCTACCTTTAACTGAGCTCGGCCCACTGCTATTAAAAAATTAAAATCTGATAGTATATCCGAGGACGCTTAAGCCTCCTCAAGTTGACAGCGGAATCTGCGAAGGCGAATCGGCTGTTGCTTTCCGCGACGGACGAGGAGGGGAGCGTCACTTCCGGTAACAACATACACGGCAACCTCAAGAGCTCCAGCAGGGAACTTCCACCTTTGGCCGCTCGCGGTTTGGGGCGGGGACACGAGCGCTTCGCCAGGGCTTCGCATCTCCCCAGACCCTCCTTGTCAAGCTTGGGCACTGACTGGCACAGCACTCGTCGCGGCGGCGGTTGGGACTCAATTTCGGACAGGTAAAGCGCGTTTTCTCTTCTCGCCTCAGTAGCCTGGAGGCAGCGGGAGCCGTTTGGTCTTGGAAGCTAAGCAGGGTCGACCTCGGTGAGCGCTTGGGTGGGAGACCGCCAAGGAATACCAGGCGCTGTGGGCTATATTTCAGAGCAACCCACCTCAATGTATCCCTTACCTAGGAAAACTCTATGAAATTCATGGAGATTTTATTTTGAATATTTATTTATAACCCGCTTTATCTCTCCATCCTTAGGGCCCTTCCATACAGCTGAATAAAATCCCACAATATCTGCTTTGAACTGGAATATATGGCGGTGTGGACTCAGTTTAAAGCAGATATTGTGGGATTTTCTACCCATCCATACAGCCTTACATCCCAGAATATCAAGGCAGAAAATCCCACAGTATCTGCTTTGAATTGGGTTGTCTGAGTCCACACTGCCATGTAACCCAGTTCAAAGCAGATAATGTGGGATTTTATTCCACTGTGTGGACGGGACCCCAGAATATCAATGCAGAAAATTTATTTATTTTTATTTATTTGGAAGTTTTTTATACCGATCTTCTCACCTCGAGAGGGACTCAGATTCGGTTCACAACATGTGTCATATACAAAATTACAAAACACACAATGCATTATCAGAAAACATTAAAAACATATTTCAGTAAACAATATACAATATAAATCATCATCATCACACTTATATATAAGCCAGGTCGTCAAAACATTAGTCATAGTTCACAGTTAGTTATACTCCTTCCATATAGACCCACGCTGACTCAGTTATCAAAGGCCAAATTACAAAGCCATGTCTTTGTTAATTTTCTGAACATCAGGAGGGAGGGTGCGGTTCTAATCTCCAGAGGGAGGGCGCTCCAAAGCCGAGGGGCCACCATTGAGAAGGCCCTGTATCTCATCCCCACAACGCAATTGTGACAGCGGTGGGACCGAGAGCAGGGCCCCCCCTGACGATCTTAAGAAAATCCCACAATATTTATTTATTTATTTACGGCATCTATATGCTGCCCTTCTCACCCCGAAGGGGACTCAGAGCGGCTTACAATATATATTTTCATACAATATATTATATTATTAGCATAGTACAATATCAGTATTATATATTACTATATTGCACTATACCATTATATTGTAATATTATTAGTAATATTACATGTAATGTAAATATATAATTATAATTATAAAAAAAAATTTTTGTCGTGTCAGGAGCGACCGCTCCTGTTATGAGAGAATTGGCCGTCAGCAAGGACGTTGCCCAGGGGACGCCAGGATGATTTGATGTTTTATCATCCTTGTAGGAGGCTTCTCTGATGTCCCCACATGAGGAGCTGGAGCTGATAGAGGGAGCTCATCCGCCTCTCCCCGGATTTGAACCTGTGACCTGTCGGTCTTCAGTCCTGCCGGCACAGGCCTTTAACCCACTGCGCCAGCGGGTGCATAATAATTATAATATTCTATTATTATTATTATCTGCTTTGAACTAGGGGCCCTTCCACACAGCCATATATCCCAGAATATCAAGGCAGAAAATCCCACAGTATCTGAGTGTGGACTCAGACAACCTAGTTCAAAGCAGATACTGTGGGATTTTCTGCCGTGATATTCTGGGATAATGGGGCTGTATGGAAGGGCCCTAGATTATCTGAGTCCACACTGCCATTTATTCCAGTTCAAAGCGGATAATGGGGGATTTTATTCAACTGTGTGGAAGGGGCCGGAGACTCACAATGAAAAATGTTACAATTTCAAATATACCAATATACAATAATAAAACGGTATTGTCATTGTATGTGATTATATATTACTAGTAGCGTTATATTTAATATATTTGTATTATTATATTACAGTATTATTATTATTGTTATTATTATTATTGTATACTTTATTTATATATTGGCAATAGTATGATAGCTGGGACCCTATGCTAGTTGCGCAACGTGGTCTGAATTAATGAAGGGAACACGTGTGCCAGATAGCGGCACGAGTGAGAGATGCAGCTGACACAGGATACCAGTGAACTAATGTAACTCAGGTGCCATTCCCTGCCCCCCTTTCTGGCGTGCTATGGGGGACAGAAAGGGAGGCAGGGGTGCCATTCCCTCCCCCCTTTCTGGCGATCTATTGGGGGTAGAAAGGGGAGCAGGGGTGCCATTCCCTCCCCCTTTTCAGGCAAGCTATGGGGGGCAGAAAGGGGGCAGAGGTTCCATTACCTATTCCTCTGTCTGGTGAGACTATCGCAGCTGCGTCTCTCATTCCCTGCACTGTCTCGCCCATGTGTTCCCCTAATTCAGACCCACGTTGCGCAATCAGCGTTGCGTAGGGTCACGGCTATCATACTATCGCCTATATATTTAATATTATATTGTATTATTTCTCTTATATTGTGTTGCATTATAATATCATTATAAATATTATGGAGAGAAAAGTGGGATATAAATAAACCTTTTAATATATAACATTGATCTCTATTGATTTTAGTTGACCTTATTAATATGTTAAGGAAACTGTACTACGATGTACTTTCTTGATGCAAATACTGTTTTAATATGTTCTTCTTGCATATGTTTTTATTAGATACTACATTTGGAATTTTAGTTTTTTGAATAAAAATTATATATTTAAAAATGTTTATATTAAAAGAATCCAGGTTGAAACCATATTCATATGTTGGATAATTTACAGTGAAATGAACAAGTTTAAGAAACATCCACCATATTTTTTTATTTATTTAAAGAAAAAATTATTGGGATGGGTCATAGTTTTATAAGGATCAATGAAGGAGTACCTAAATTTAGTACTATTAAGACTGGAATCCTTAGTCGTATTTGTCTTACTTTTTACTTGTTTTACTTGTTTTAAATTACAAATGATGATTTAAGACATATAACTTTAACATTTTAAGTTTTGGAATGAAATTGTGATGTGGTGAACCCATATTACCCACTGGGATTTAGTTCTAAGATGGTTTGTGGATACCAAAATTTATGGATGCTGAAGTCCCATTATATACAGTAGCATAGTGAATCAGTGTACATTATATAAATGATTAGTTTTAGGGTGTGGGTGTGTATTCAGACTGGGTGCTTAAATCAATTGATATAAAATTCTTGGATACAAAGGACCAACTGTATCTGTAATATCTTCTCTTTAGTAAATAGCCATGATAGTTTTGATGGTGACCACTAATGCATTCTAGCAGTTCTTCTGTTACTGTGAAATTTTACACTTGCCCAACATCATAGAGACATTTAACCCATTTGAGTTTTCCTTATAGCTTCTTTTTTTTTTACCAGTTATTTCTTTATATAGACAAGTTCTCTTTTAAAATCAGATGGGTCTATGGGCCCTTCCACATACCCCTTATATCCCAGAACACCAAGGCAGGAAATCCCACAATACCTGCTTTGAACTGGGTTATCTGAGTCCACACTCAGATAATGTGGAATTTTCTGCCTTGATATTCTGGGATATAGGGCTGTGCGGAAGGGCCCTATGTTGGACTACTTTGATGCTTTCCAACTACCATGTATATTAAATGTAATAGTCTTATGGTCACTGTTTCTAATCAGTGGGACCATACTTACGTTTTGCCATAGGTCTCAGATAGCACCAGGTCATTTAGTGTCACCTTGCCATGAACTATAACCAGTTCAATGGCCAGCTGTTCTGGAACACAGCCATTTAGCATATCTAGAAATGTGTACCATTTTATCATGGCAAAAATATGCATATTCGGTCAAAGCAAGGGTAGTTCAAGGCACTAATTGTTACAAGGTTGTCTCTTTTGAATGCCTCCGTGATTTTATTCTGTCTCTCAAAATCCACCCAAGTCTTTGGTGGAGGGATGATAATATCATGTCCTTAGTATCTATTACTTCTGGTGTTTTGTATTGTCACTCACAGTGATTCCGCAAAGATGTCGCCTCTGATAAGGTTCTAGCGTTCACAATATAATGCTTTCACTAATATATAGATGAGCAGCACCCCCAGTTTCCCCTTACCTGTCAGTCTTGTAGAGTTTCCTGATTGGACTGCCATCTCTGCTGGGTCATTTAGTTTCTGCATAGGATGTGGAGGAAGAAGCTCTTGTGCCATGGGAAGGGAACCAGAAGATGTAACAGCAGGGTGAGAGCAAACGGAGCAGAATGTGTTGGAATATGCAGACTTGGCAGGGATAATAAAACAGAGCAGTCTGCATGTAGAATATGGAGACCTGTAAAGAAACAGGAGATGAGGGAGGAGAAATGTAGACAAAGTGATGATAGTGATTGTGAAGTGGCTTGTATGCATCCCTCTATTTTTAGAGATGCAATCAATTATCTGGAGTTTTCTCCATCCAGCTGGAATTACCCTCTGTAGCCCTCTGTCCCAGTTACTTGGAAGTGGCCACACACCTTCAGTTTCTTCTGCTGGGTTTTACCTGGCTGTCATTTCTGTTCTCATCAGGTTTCTGCTAACACACATTTCAGTGCTTTCTTGTTTTTTTTATTCCTTTTTTTCATATCTCCCTCTGAAGTCACATTCTCAGAATTTGTCTCATCTTTCTTTAATCTTTTTTGCAATGTTAGTCATTTTTTTTCTATTCTTGTATCTTTTATTATTTGTTTTTCTCTTTACCTCTTTTTGTGGGCAGTCTTTCATTGAGTGTCCCAAGAAAATGATGTGAAGGAATTAGAGTTTATCCCTCATTATCCCTTCACTTTGTTTTTATTGATCACTCCTTCCCAGCTTTATCTGATCAAGACTTCAGTGGAATCATTTATTTGGGTTGATTTCAAGAATTTTAATTTCTACCATTAACCTTCAGCCAAAACTGTTGCTCACAAAAGAGCATAGATAAAATTCTTACATGGGCATCTTGCCAAATACTTATTTCATTATTAATTTAGTTATGATTTGCGAAGTTGAACAATGCTTGTTTTATGCAACTTTATGGTTCATTGAGAATACAAGGAAAGGAGGGCATTAGAGATATTCCTGGGACTT